CATGTGACCTGATAGCCTGGTGGCTGTACTACCAGCCTTGGAAACCCTTCCTCTGTGGTTGTTTGTCTCCTACACAGCAGGATGCTGGCCAACATTCCTGACCTAGCCACCCCCATTTACGTGTTCAAGGTGTCTTCTTGACTGGCCCTGGGGGTAACACTGCTCTCACAAGCCTACCGTCACTTCCTTCCCTAGCAAGCTGCCTGCCTGCTAAAAGCTGACTTGCCCCTCCTGCTGACTCCATCCAGCTATGGATAGCCCTGGCCGGCAGGCCTTTAGTGTCCAAACACAAGGTTGATGGTGGTTCGCTGGGTCTACACCAGCCAGGTTACTAAGGAAGTGGAGACTGTGCTGCTGCCTAGTTCTTAGCCCTACAGGGAGAGGGCAGCTGTGAGTGGACACGTCATGAAGCCGAGTATGAGGTTCAGCCTTCTCTGCCAGGAGATGTGCTGGTCCCTTTTCTTGCAGATTACCTGTGGACTACGTGCTGATGAGGCAGGGAAGGGAGTGTTTGAGCCCCAGGGGATGTGATTCCCATGTCTCTTTAAGAAAAGGCTGTGATCGCATGAACATGCTTCTGCAGTTCTGAAGTAACCCTTGAGCCAGGGCCATGGAGGAGCCAGTGGCTGTCATGCTCCTTGCATGATGTGGACACCTGTCTGCACTGTATGATGTGGACACCTGTCTGCAGTGCCATCCCTTACTGGGAGTCCTGTCCATGTGGGACCTACTGTATCTTTCCTGAGGCCCTTGGCTTCTGCATCCACTTCTGCACATCACAATTGTGGCACCTTTTAAATGAACCCCAGGTTTAAACAGATGATCTCATTAAGGGAGACCATTTAATGTCACACTGGGTCTTCTCTCAACTCCTTGTGATTCACACAGCATGTATACTAAAACACCTGTTTGAAGGTCTCCCCCCACCAGTGTACCCCAGCTGCTGTTGGTCTCTTCAGTCTTCATAATCCCGAGGTACACCTGAGGAAAGCCAGGCCCAGACGCTCACAGCCTACAGCCCATGCTCCATCTCATTGATCAGCCCTGTGCTGGGATGCTCTGTATTTTGGTCAGTCTACCACTGCACACCTGGCAGCCTGCTGCCTTTCAGGACATCTTTTGGACACTTGCCATCACTGAGGATTCTAAGCTTGTGGTGTGCCAACGTATCACCATGTGGCCCCAAACCTTGCCTTCCTTGCCAAATCTGGCAGTAGAATCTTTTTGCTCCTCTCTCTTCACTCCTTGGCTGTGGTTCTCATGCATCTCATCAGATGTTCTTTGCGTGGAAGGCCACATCAAGGCCATTACATACTTGCCTCAGGTTTGCTGAGAATGGGTCAAGTGGTAGATCAGACTTCAGCACTGAGCTCCAAGTTTGGACAGCTGAAAGTAGGTCTATCTATCACCTCTTGTTCTGTGGCAGTTACACTTGGCTCTGGCAGAACATGCTTTAAAATAAATCTTAACCACATAAGTAGGAACGTGTCTCTGGCAGCATGTACCAGCAGTTTTTCCAGATGACTTGAAAGCTCTCTTCAAGCCTGGATTGGTTTCCATCACTATTAGGGCACCAAGTTGCCAGTGGTGGAAGGTGTGGCCTGGGGACTGTGCATCCCACGCACGAGCAGGTCAGCTTGGAAGCACTTTCCTAAAATTGCTACAGGAAGCAAACCAATGGGACAGGAAGCCCCGGTTTTGTAGGTCAGCATTTTGCCATGGTCAAAGTCCTGCAGAACACCAGCACACTTGGCAGTCTGATTCCTGGTCCCTGGCTTCGGTGGTGAGTGAGGAAAAGCGTGTCTAGGTGCCTCACACTGCCAAACACAGGGTTCTGCGTGGAGTTGAACTGCTGTGTGTTTGGGAACTTTCTAGCTTATAAAACCAGTATAAGCTCCTGTGTTACCCTTTGTACCTATGCCACAGACAAATCACTCCTGTTCAGGTCACTCTTGGACAGAGTCTACCTACCATCCTCCGCCCTGGGATATAAGGGTTCTCCGCCCTGTGTTCTTTCATCTCAAGGACTCTTGCTTCTTGTCTCCTGTGCACTGTTACACTCTGAGAGTTGAGCTTCCTGGACTTCAGGCCATTTGTCTGTTGGCCCTTGTAGGCAGGCTGAGGACAATCCAGGCAAAGCTTTGCAATGTCCCCCTTCTCCCCGCAAGCTTGACACAAGGGAGCCCAGTTTTCAGGAGGCTAACTGGCCAAGGCAAATGTCTTTTTATAATTAGGTCGCTTCTGGGGCCTTTCAGAGCCAGAGGTCAGACTTTAGAGTGAGCTGCCCTTGGACCACATGGTGCCCAGCCACTCTATGGATACATTTGGGCAGAGAGGTGGATGTTCTCTTGGGTGAAATATAAGGATATGGCTGTACAAGGATGTCCTGTCACTGTACAGGGAAGAGTTAAAGCAACACACATCTAGTTGCCAGACCAAGTCATGTGACTTGGCAGTGTAGGATAGTGAGTTTATCACCATGCTAGAGAACATAATCACAAAGCCCCAAGTTGGTGAAGACCTCAGTGTGGGACGCACTGAGCTAAGGTGCCCTCTCAGGAAAATGACTAGGTGTCACGTAGTATTCAAAAGCCAGCACTGTAGGCAGCTGATCTCCGCTGCCCTGGTCTTGAGTGCATAGATCTGGGTGCCTCATCTGGGATGAAGGTATCCCCAGACCTGACCACTGTTCTTCCTGGGTTTTTATTTGGACATTTTGTTTCATCATGGGAGCTTCTTTCCCTCTGTTAACTAGAAGGGACCCAGCACTTAGGAGGCATCTTTTTCTCCTCAGTGAGGCAGGCACTTAATTGTCTCTATGTACACATGACTGCAGGTGCTCTTGGAGGCCAGAGACATTGGATCCTCTGGAGCTGGAGTTACAGGAAGTTCAGCTGCCCAGCATAGGTTCTGGGAGCCAAACTCGGGTCCCAGGATGTGTTCTTAACTGCTGGGCGATCTCTCATCCAGTGCCAGAGGGGCTCTTGCTTAAGTGTTATCTTACCCATCCCAAACCGATTTCATCTCAGAAGACTTCAGCCATTTAGAAAGCCTGCCAGTGTCCTGTGCCACACACAAGTCCCCTAAGGTAAGGTTTAGGTACCCGGGCCCTCTGCTGCATTAACCCTGTGTGGTCTCTCCTCAATAGGAACAGATCATCAGTTTGGTCAACCAGATCTGTGGCAAAGTGTCCGGCAAAAACGGCAGCATTGAGAACTGTCTCAGTAAACCCACACCAAAAAGAGGCCCCCGCAAGAGAGCAACCGTGGACGTTCCCCCATCGCGGCTGTCATCCTCTGTGTCATCCAAAAGTGCTTCAAGCTCATGAAGACGCCAGCACCCATGGTCGTTTATATATTTTTTGTAATTACTATATTCTAGTTTGGAGTACTTGCTGTAGAATACAAGCTGTCTTTGCACTAGCTCTAAAGAAGATTTTCTTCTGGTTTTAGAGAACTAATTTTGTTTTAGCATTAAACTCTTGAAGTTTTTTTGTACTTAGAATACATAGATACTGCAGTCAGATTTTGGAAACTGCCGTACTCACTGTTTTAAACCCTTGAGGGGCTGTATTAATTTCTATTGCCCCTATGGCTGACAAAAGCCTTTTTGTTTTTTTTTTTTTTTTTTTTTTTTTTGTAACTGTTGGGGGGGAAGGCTTTTTAACCCATTTTTGAAGAGGGTGAAGTTTGGAGAACAAATTTTAAAACCATCCACTCATGTGAGCAGATTTTTCTAGATCGGAAAAGGGATAGGAGACACACGGGGGGGGGAGAGGGGGAGAGAGAAAACTTGAAATGGCTTTACTTTGGCTGTCTTTTCTTCTGGCATGTGCGAGGTGAGTTTGTAACTTTTGGAACCGGAGAGCCCCATTGTGTTTGCTGGGCGGTTATGGCAGCTGAAGGCAAAATGTGGAGGTTTGAGTGAGTAGGTTCTTGCTACCAGCACATCACTATGCATCCGTCTGAGGAAGAGAGGACAAAGACAAAGACTGCCTGCCTTGGAGGGTCACTGAGGGAGACCTGTGCCTGATTTCATTAGGAAATCCCATTCTGTTATTTTTTGGTGCTGTTGGCTACTTTATCAAAAACCCTTCAATAGCATCCTTGAGAGAGCCTGGAACTCACTATGTAGACCAGGCTGGCCTTGAACTCACAGAGATCTGCCTGCCTCTGCCTCCTGAGTGCTGGGACTAAAGGCATGTGCCACCATGCCCAGCTGTTGTTTTCTTTTTTTTTTTTTTTTAGGTTTTTTGAGACAGGGTCTCCCTTAGCCCTAGCTGGCCTGGATACGCTATGGAGACCAGGCTGGCCTCGAACTCACAGAGATCCACCTGCCTCTGCCTCCCCAGGGATTAAAGGCGTGCGCCACCACAGCTGGTAGGAAAACGTGTTTTTAAACAGCAAAAAAGTTGGATTTCAGTATTTGCTTCCAATGGCCTTAGTGTTTCAGAAGAAGGTAAAATATCTTTCATCTAATGTCTTGGACTCCTGAAATAAACCCTTTCAAAAGGCAAGGACCACAAGTAATTACAGTGTCTATAAAGTTGTCACTTGGGCAGGCTTCTGGGTACTTTCTCTGAATCCACTAGTTGCTTACAGAAAGCTGTTTTCCACATGTTCCTCACTTGAATCCTCTTCATGACCCATTCACCTTTAAAATCCTTACACAGAAATACCAAGTCTCCTTGTCAGGTGATAATAATGCCACCAGTATTTGTAGTTGGGTAATGTTAAAGAAGGCATCCTGGGTCCTATAAAATTATAGTTATATGCCGTGGTCTGAATGTGCTTCCCTGAGAGAGAAAAAAAAAAAGGAAAAAAAAAAAAGAAAAAAATTGAAGCCGTAAGCGCTTCCCTGTCGTCAACGTGCAATCTTTCTGACATTCCACTTCATCTCACCGTGTTTCACACCTTTACACGTCAGCATTAATCTTTCTCTAAATTCCTTTCTGATCACACTTAGAGCCACTAGGAGGTCTGCGTTCTTTTTGAATGTGAAAATGCATTTGCGCTCATCTTGTCTATTTTTTCTCTTCATGTTTTAACAAAAAGGAAAAAAATGAAAAAAAGAATCCCACCCCTTTTGTACATACGCCTGTAAATTGTTTTAAATACTTGAGCCTTTTCTTGGTGGGGGGAGGGGAGGGGTGAGAAGACGAGATGAAGAAAAGCCTTACATTTCAGTTTCTTCATCGGCTGGATTGGATGCTTACAGGGTTTTTCTTGTAACATTTCTAAGTGCTGCTTACATCACTGAACAACAACAAAACATGATAATGGAGTAGCTGTTGCCCTTCTCCGGTTGTGTGTACAGTATGTGTGGAATAAAAAAGGGAAACTGTTTTCACAAGCTGTTCTTTGTTTCATAATTGGATCAGTCCGTAGCTACCCATATTGCACTGAGCTTGCCAGTGGTGACTGCCAGGAGAGTCCTAGGATCCACTTTGTTGGTTGTTGTTGCAGAAGACTGAACTGTTTTGGAATATTTAACGATTACATAACAGTCGAGTGTTTTCCAATGTGGTTGTCCGGTTTTTATGGCCTTGCTGTGTACTTTTCCCTCTTTTGACAGTAAACTTCTGCCTATGGCTTACAGTTTGACATTAATTTATTAGCGCTGCTCTGCACCCTCCCTGAGAGGGAGACTTCATGTGGTTTATTGCCAGTTTTTGTTTACTTTTCAGGTTTGTACTACAAGATTTAATAATAAAAACAACATTTTTTGGACATTTTGTCTGTCTTGTGGAAGATGAGTGAATATTTGGAATGGCTCGATTCTGGTCAGTGGGGCAGAGGCTGGCCAGGGAGCAGAGCTCCTGAGACACTGTCCTGTTAGCAGCCACTGTGTGCTGCCCTCACCTTCCTCTGTGCCGTAGCTCGAATGGGGGCAGGATTCCTACGCAAGCAAGAGCAGGCCCAGTTGATTGGGCTCAGGTCTGTTTCTGTGGGGCCCAGTTGCTCTAGGGCTGGCCTTGTGGTAGTTCAGCTGACAGGTTCAGGTCCTAATCTGATCATAGTGTTACATGTTAACAGAACTGTTCTTATAAAACAGTAGGACCCAGGCCTGCCTATACAAGCCCTTCCTCAGGGGCCCTCGCAGCTGCCTCTCCTTTAAGGACTCTAAGCAATGCTTGGTGCCCCCTGCTGTAAGCACCAGTGTGGCCGAACAAAGTAGCTACACGCTCACTAGTCACTACTCAGCTTCATGTTTAGCCCCCAGACTTTATTATTAGCTCTTCTCTGGTTGATTTCTGACACACCATTGCCAACTGTGTAAAATCAAGATCCTCTAACACTGCCTAGACTCACAGGTGGATCCTGCACACAGCTGACAGTTGTTCAAATGTCCTGAGTTGAGTCACTGTCATCACTGACATCTGGGGTGGCCTTTCTTTCAGTGTGTAAAGTGGCCAACACAGTGTCCACCTGTACCTCCTCTTCATCAGACTGGACAAGAGGACCATCGCTGGTGTCCAGGTCAGCACAAGCAGAGGGTGAGGCAGGTGGCTGGGTGTCTGATCCTGAGGGATTTGGAACCTGAAGAGTAATTTCATTCTGACAAGGGTCAGATTCAGGTTCTGTGAAAGAAAGGAGGAAAAAAAACCTGTCAGCAAAGAATTGAGGTTGGGAACTGCAACTGAGGGCGTCGGTCTGCTGCCCTACAGGAAAGGGCTGCCTGCCTGGAAGAGGACCATCGCTGGTGTCCAGGTCAGCACAAGCAGAGGGTGAGGCAGGTGGCTGGGTGTCTGATCCTGAGGGATTTGGAACCTGAAGAGTAATTTCATTCTGACAAGGGTCAGATTCAGGTTCTGTGAAAGAAAGGAGGAAAAAAACCTGTCAGCAAAGAATTGAGGTTGGGAACTGCAACTGAGGGCGTCGGTCTGCTGCCCTACAGGAAAGGGCTGCCTGCCTGGCTCTGGTGGCACAGCCTGACTGCTCGCACTGCAGGAGCCACCACAGGAGGCCGGAGGTGAGCAGCTGACACACTGTTCCTTACTTGGTGAGGCACCTATGACACTGGGACCGACCAAAACCTCTAAAGCCACATAAGCTCCAGTGAAGTTGTGTGCACAGTGCAAGTGGCTAGAGCCACTCGTGGAGCCTTGAGAACCTGGAAGTTTTCCGGCTGCTCTAAGTAGGCAGAATCACTGAGCCCTCGGTGCTCTCCAATTTCAAAGGGACTAGATGGATTCTAGGTGAGATTTGGCTGTGACTAAATCTAGTCCTAGTTCTGCAGAGGACCAGCCTTCTGAGTACAGGGCTGAGAGGCAGGTGAAATTAGAGAAATCTGAACCCTCAGGACTCTGGGCCTGTACCTGAGACCTGACGCTTGCTTCGCCCTCCTGTATGTGGAAGAAGCTGAAAAGCCAGCTGTGCTTGCTGAAATGATTTACGGAAAGCACCCACAGTAGACTTGGAAGAAACAGTGTGAGTCACACAGAGCAACCCCAATCCCATACTGGTCCTCCAAATGACAACCCAAAACTACTCGATACCTGGCAAATTAAGACCCTATTTACTGAAGGCACCTCCTGTATGTGGGAAAATGGGTGCGAGGAAGAAGACTCCTACCTAAACCAGGGGACAGCACAGTGTTGTCCTCTCCGCCCGAGTTCAAGAAGACATCTAGCGCCTCCTGGTCAGAGATGTCCATCAGGTCCATCTGCTCCAGCATGTCCACGTTCACCTCCATGGACGACATGCTGCCCATGGGCTCTGGGAAGACAAGAAGTTGTACTTCTCCCTCTCACAGTACAGGGTGAAGTTCATCAACTATAATTACATGGCTTTTCCTCATTGCTCCTGCTGGCACCAAATGTATTCCAACTTCAATCTGTCCCAAGTCACCTGATTTCCTACATTACCTTTGTCCCCAGCCCCTTGTCTGCAAGGTGGTATTTGGATCAGGGTGTCAGTCAACATGAAGAGTAGGAAATGAGTAAATGCCCTCCTGAGGCCAGCACAATCAAACATTGATGTTTTCATAGAGCCAAGAGCTCCCTGCAGTGGCCACACTGATTTAGCAGTAGCTTTAGCAGTGGGAGACAGGGCCGCCCTGCCTGAGAGCCAAGGGCAGGACACCTCTCAGGACTAGTTAGTTACCTTCCCACCACCAGCCAATAAAATCAACTTAGGAGTGAGACAGGGGCCTGAAAGAGAAATTGTTTCTGGAAGGATGTGTCATGAACTTTGTGTTTCAAAGACAAGGAAATAAAATTCCTACATAGAGTGAGGGTTAGCAGAAAGTGCTACCATCCCTCGGTAAAGAAATAAAAAAGCCAGGTGTCAGAGCAGGCTTCTGAAAATGGGCCAAACAATACAAAGATTTCATTAGTGAAATTTATTTTTTATTGTTCTTTTTGGAGACAGGGTCTCCCTGTAGCCCCAGATTGGCCTGGAACTTGCTTGCTATGTAGACCAGCAAGTTCCTCTGCCTGCCTCTGCCTCCTGAGTGCTGGGATTAAAGGCATGTGCCACTATACCCAACCTCATTAGTGAAATGTAAAACTTGAGTAAGTTGATTAGTGGGAGCCAAGAAGAAAATCTAACAAGATGGCATAGTGACCAAATCCCCCTCAGTACAGCACAAAGATGCAAAATGTTAAAGGCCCGCAAAATCTTGTACATTCACAGCTCCAACAGAGGAGAGTTGAAGGGAAATTATATGCAAAGAGGCCAGTTATTTTCCAGAAAGACTTGGGAACCTGGGTTTAGGAAATGAATGAAATAGGTTCCAGGTAAGATGGGTCCCAGGAGAAAGAGTTATGTGGGCGAGTGCTGAGCACAGAGACCTAGGAATCAACAGGATGGAGGGGAGGGGGTGAGGGGTATACAGCAGGGAAGCAGGGCAAAGTGGGAGTTCATCTTTGGGCATACAGTCATTTTAAGTTCATGAAAATAGGGTAAGAGAATTAATTTCTACTTCTAGTAGGGAGTAAAGCTCACAGTTTTGACAATGCCAACCTGAGCCAGATCAAATGTGAGCACGTGATACCACAGCTGCATACACAGCTGTCTGGTGTGCACTTCCCAGAAGCCCAGGCTGCTGGGGGTATGGGAATGGCTCTGTGGTCACCTGCACCCATGTAGGGCTCTTTCTGCAGGTGTGTGTGGGGGTGGGGGGGTGTTTTTCCTGTGATTGTGCAAGCTCTTCTGGCCCTTGACCAGGGGTCTGACTTCAGTTTGGGAAAGGGCAGAACCTCCTGTTTGTGCTGTGCCATCTTAAAAAGCATAACAAAAATTGAACTTTAGGATAGGACAAGCTTTTAGGAAAACAGCGCCACAAAAGATAGTGATGACGTCAGGAATGAATGAAACCTGCCAACTGAAAGACCACAGCCTAGCAGAGCGGTTCAGGCCTGTCATCTCCACATGGGAAGGCTGAGACAGGAGCGCCACACCAGCTTGGGCTTTCTAGCAAGATCCTGTCTGAAAATACCTCTCCACAAAGTGTATGTAATCCTCCTGCCTCAGTCTCCCAAATGCTGGAATTGTAGGTGTGTGTGGTCCAGTACCTAGGCACTGACCACTTGCTATGTTTTTAAAGTAAGAACTGTTAATACACCTTTTGACTGACATTGCCTGTCCTACCTGAATTAGAAAGGCAAATGGCTGACAAATAAGAAATCTTAATGAGAGCCTACAGAGGTGGCTCATTGGGTGAAAGTGCCGGGCACCGTACAATGCAGACCTGACAACCTGAGTTTGATCCCAGGAACCAATGTAAAGGTGGAAGGAGAGAACCAATTCTACAAAGTTGTCCTCTGACCCCGTACATTTGCACTGTGGCATGCACCCCCCATTATATACATATAAAATACACTATTAAATATCAAAAGCTGTCAAATGCAGCTAAAATAGTGTTCCAACAGTTAATTCTTAGCTTCGAATGCCTCACTACAGAATAAAGAAAATTCAGACTATTCCAGTCAGGTAAAAAGATGTCCATGCCACATGCCTTTGATCCGAGACTCAGAAGGCACTGGCAGGTCGATCACTGGGAGTTCAGACCAGCCAGGACCAGAGTCCAGCTGTGTCTCAAAAGCAAAACATAACAAAACCAAACCAACAATAAAACACCAAACAAGAAGATGCTCAAACGAAGTTCAACTCCTCTGCTTCCCGAGTTCTAGGATCACAGAGGTGCACCAACATGCCTGGCTCCAAGTGAGTAATCTTCGGAAGGCAAGAGCAAAGGCTGAAAAACAGTCCTGTGGGGAGTGGTATGCTAATATATTTGAAAACTAAAGATAATTTTGGTGTGCTTCCCATGGAATTAAAGTAGACTGCTCTATAACCATGAAGACAGCTCTTCAGAGTACCCACTGGCCCCTGGCAGTGCTGAGGCAAGTTCCGTCAACCACTCAGGATAATGAAGAGCAATAAGCATTCAAAATGCCTAGCACCACAACGTGTTTAATGCAATTCCAATCAAACCAGATAAGCTTTAACCAGACAAGGTGTAGTCAAGAACTTGAAACCTTATATGCTGGACAAGGAACCTAGAATGGCAAAGAACAGACTTGGTCACTTGGTGGAAGGGGAAACTGAGGCTTCTTAGCCTCTGCTGACACTGAACCTGGAGACTGGGGCTGTCCAGTGTGATACAGGGAGGTTAACAGTGCCCCCTGCCTCTGTCTGCTAGATCTTGTCATATACCTTTATCCCACTCTCAAGCAAAAGTGTCTCTAACGACATGCAAAAATCTGTCCGCAGACAAACACAGAATAAACACAAAGCTGCTAAGCCAATCCCCTTACAAAGTAACTCTGATTTAGCAAAGATCATTTCCAAACAGGACAAGCTGCAGAGTGAGAGAACACATGTATCAGAGACTCTGCACCAGCCGATACCCACAAGCATGTGACTCAATGAGAGGACACAGGTGACAGAAATGAGACCGAGGAAATGAAAAGCCAAAATAACTATCACCTCAATTATTTTTTTGGGGAAAAATTTAATGGTGACACTATGAACTGTTGACTGGACTTAGAAACACTCCTCTGTTCTTGTTCTGTGACGTCATTTCCAGAAAGGTTTACCTGAGGCCCCCCCTAAGTGGGTGGCAGCATCCTGTGGGCTGGGGCCCTCACTGCATGAAGGGAAAAAGGGAAAGCCAGATGAGCAGCAGTTTTCTGGTGTGTTGGCTGCAGGGAGGCTCTTCACACTACAGCCATGCTGTCTCCCTCCCACCACGTACCACATCCTCTCACACTGCAAACTGAAATCAGTCCCTGCCTCCTTAAGCTGCTTTCTTGTCACAGCCATGCCAGCACTTTAGTTTTCTGTTTTTGTTTTTTTTTGAAACGGTCTCCCTGTAGTCCCAGTTGGCCTGGAATTCACTACGTAAACCAGGCTGGTCTCGATCTCAAGAGATCCACCTGCCTCTGCCGCCTGAGTGCTGGGACTAAAGGTGTGTGCACCACTCCCAGCCCCTATTATTTTTTTACAATTAAAAAAAATACTTTTATCTGTATGAATGTTTTAGCTGGATGTATGTAGGCTACCAGTGCATGCACTGCCCATGGGAGGCAGAAGGGGGCACCGGATCCCCTGGAACTGAAGTTAAAGATTTATGTTAGCCACCATGTGGGTGCTAGGAACTGAACTCAGTCCTCTGCAAGAGCAGCCAGTGTTCTTAAATCACTGAGCCATCTCTCCAGCCTTCCAGCACTATTCTTAATAACTGAGAACAAGTACTTGTAATAATGAATGAATTGTATTTGTTCAATGTAAATAAATTAATAAAAATCAAGTTTGAACTGAGTGGATTATATTATCGATAGCCCCCAAAAGCAAGCTACAAGACGATGCATACAGTGTAACACTATATTTCCATAAATATGGTTTTTTGTTTGGCTGGTTCTGGGGAATTAACCCAGCGTCTCATGCATGCTACTATCCTCTGTTCTGTGTAAGGTTTTACAAGTTGCAGAGCATGTACTGTTTTGGAAAACATAGGTATATGGCGAAGGCCGATTAACTCTGGAGGTGAGGAAGGTGGACATGATCAGAACGTGCACAGAGGCCTGATGGGGCTGCAAAGTACAGAGATAAAGACCTTGTTTGTGTCTTTGTATCCTGGGATACTTCAAACCATTTTTGAAAGATCTGAGGCAAATATTAAAAGTTCTGTCTGGAAGTGTGGACATATACTATTGTCTTTCTTTTTGATATTTAAAATATTCCCTAATTAAAATGAAAACCAGTCATGAATCATGGTAATTCACAGTTCCACATAAACTCTCGTAGGGGAGATAATCACAGCAAGTTAAAAATCATAGCTGGTCTTTGCATTTTAGACTGGGTCCTGGGGACACTGCAGTGCAATTGGATGCCTCTCCATCTGCTCACTCTGTGTTTCCTAACTACCATCAACATTAGTACAGGCACAAACGTTCACCACGTTCTCTCCCAGGGCTCTTGAGTTCACTTTAACACTGAGGGCTAAGGGCTGGGTCACAGTCTAGGAGGGCACAGAGGCAGCCTTGGCTTTAGGGGCTTAACATTGCTTACCTGTCAGCAAAGACCAAGAAGCTTAACTCTAATCGACTATAGAAACTGGGAGGCAGGCAGAGCAGGGCCTCTCCCATGAGATCCATTTGTAACATCCTGACATTCACACTAAGTGAGAACAAACATTTGTCTAAGAAATCAGGCCCCTCTGGTACAGGAAATTTCAAACCTGAGCAGGCTTGTACACAGTCCTCATCAGGCCCTAACACACTTGGGGTCCCTACCGACTGTGGTCTGTGGTGGCCCACCCCAGGGCCTCCTGTGGCTCCCTGCTCCATAGGGTCATGGTGACAGGTGGTCCTGTATCCTTTCCTCTGATATGTTTCTAGAGAAAACTTTCCATAGTCTTGTCTTAGCTAAAAATGATGCTTTTGAAAGGGAGGAAAGTTCAGACTGCTATTCCTGACTTAGTCGAATCAGTCGAGAATGCCAAGCTCACTGCAGAGCCTTGTGCTGACTGACATTTCTAAATTCAGCAATTCAGCTTCGCTAGCTCCACCCTTGGAGGTGAAAATTCTTCCTGAGGGTGGGTGGGACTGTGAGGCTGGGAAGTCTGGGTGGCTCTGAACAGCCCCAGGTGGCTGAAGCTATCCCAGAGGTGGGTCTCTAGAGTCAAGCTGAAACAGAAGGCTGAGAAAGCCTTAGACCTCTAATTGCCTTCTCAGTGCTTGAAAGCCCCACGTACCAGAAACATCTGCCTGGCTTCATTTTTTTTTTTTTTTTTTTTTTTTTTTTTTTTTTTTAATTTAAGGAAAAAAGCCAAACATACTTTGAAAGTTTGAAGAAAGCCATTCTTGAGATGCTCACAACTACAAAAACTAAAGCACTTAATTCTAATGTACACAACCAGCATTTTTCTCATGCCATCGCCCTGCCAAGCACTGGGCTCCGTGAGCCTCAGACCTGGCCCTAGCTGGTCTCCGGGGCACCCAGCCAAAGAAGTGTGCCTGGACCCACCAGCTTCCACTCGTCACCTAACTAGACTGTGAGCTCTGAGAGAATGGGGTTTTAGGGGCACTCTCATACTCGTCTTTGGCCTCATAAGAGCATGTAAAGGACACGGTGGGCGGAGTTAAATCCCTCAGTAATAGAGTCCCGTAACTGCTGTCGGAGGTCTATCTCCTGTACAGCACTGAACATTGGTGCAGTGCCTCATTTTGCTTAAATCTGCAGCTTGGCCAGGGTGGGTCAATCTGTTTGAACTGAATGGTTGAAAACCCCCCTCCCCCCAAAATTTGTTGAAGCCCTAACCTCCAATATAAGTGCTTCAATTTGGAGCATTCAGGTAATTAAGGTTAGAGGAGGTCATGAGGGCTAGGACCCAAGACAGGATTATAGACACACCAAGGACTAGAGCACTTGCCTAGCACACCAAGGCCCTAGGGTCCATTCCATCCCCGGAGCCCAGCGCTAGCCATGTGAGAACACTAAGAAGATGCCATCTACAGGCCAAGAAGAAAACTTTCCTGACATGAACCATGCTACACTCTTAGCCTCCAGAGCTGTGAACAATGCCTTAGGTCCCCTGTGGTGCTCTAAGGCAGCCTTCTCAGGACTGCTCATCAGGATACAGATCCCCGGCACAAAGTCTCCACTTACTCCCACAGGAGCTGTTGCAGGCCACCGTACAGTCAGCTCCAGCACTGAGGAACTGAACCAGTGCTCTGAGGAAAACCCCTGGCCTCGCTAATCAGTGGGTGAAACAGACAGGAGGCTGACTCTACAGGTAGGAATACAAAATCTCAATCCTACACCACCTACCGGGAGTTAACTTTGTGATCCTGAGTATACCCAGAGACCACCAGGAAGCACAACGGTTCCTTATATCACTGTCCTTCCTTTGTCTCTGATAATCTCTCCTGGGAGGGGACAGAGTGTGACAGATCCACTGGGGGTGAGGAGGAGGTAGGGCTGGGAAAGCAGGAAAGGCAGGTAAAGAGATGGGGGAAAGAAGGGTTGCAGGGGGTAATAGCAGGTCTAGGGCAGACTGCACAGTACCTGACACAGGAACAACTACTCTCCAAGGTCCCTGCTCTGCCTGCTCCACCTACACCCCCAGAGGGAAAAGCCCAGTGTCTTCACATCTCCCAATGTAGCTTTCCTCTTCTCTACTTTTTGTGGTCTTCCTATAGCCCCAGGTGGCCTGGAACTTGCTATGTAAACCAGGCTGGCCTGGATCGCAGAGATTCACCTGCCTGTGCTGGGATTAAAGGCATGCCACCATGCCTGGCTAATGTGTCTTCATTTGCATTTGGATGCTGTTCCTCAAGACACCATTACACTGAGAGAAAAGTCTCCATGCTCCACCCTTTTGAAATAAGAGAAACTGGTACCAGAGAGTGGGCTACTGCTACAACAGACCTAATCATGTTGTTTTAGGTAAAGCCTGTGGAACAAATTTGGAGCTTTGAGCTGGAAAAGCCATTGTGTACTCAGAGCTAAATGAACTGTTGTGGGAACTTAGAAGATAAAGCTGAAGGAGCTGTGGATGACTGGACGCTTGTAAACTTTCATAGGAAAGCGAAGATTCTAGGGGGCTGTTTGTGTGATATATTGAACTAAGAATTTTTGGAAATGAAATCTTTTGTACTTTATAGGGACAATCAATGCTGGTCAGCTGGAGATGAAGAGTCAGCTCTGATTAGCAGGAGTGGTAACCAGCAGCTCTGAGGTGAAATCTGGGAACTATTTTCTCAGGGTCAGCACACAAAAGCTGTGTACCAGAAGCCAAGGCTGTACATCGAACTGGCAACACAACTTGGAATGTCTAAGAGATTCCCAGGTAGTCCTGGTTTAGGAGGCATGGAAGGTGCAGATCTGAAGGGGTCATGGAGAGACTCTGAGGCCAGAAGAGGCCATTAGGGAAGGTGCAGCCTCAGTTGCATTGAAGACCCCAGGATAGAGTAGAGATGCCAGGACTGGAGGATGACCACCAAGACAGGGGTAGGTGAGGAATGGAGCTGGCATGAGCCTACAAGACAAGCTGCATGTGCTGTGAATGTCAGAGCCAGAGAAGTAGAGCTACCCAAGCCCTATGGAGCTCAGATTGTGAACGAATCCCAGATGTCTATGTTGCTGGACTCTGGTTTTGCCTAAGTGTGCCCTAGTTCTTCCCTTGTGAAGTAAGAAGCGTTTAATTTATTTTGGACTTTACAAGCAGCCACAATGAAGAGATTCAGGATTTTTAGAGATACTGGACTTTTTAAGTGTTTGAATTTTTAAAGCTGTACTTTCTTTTATATTATGATATTAACATGATATCGTGGGGACAAAAAAGAAAGGAAAGGATATGGTTTAATAGTGATGTGTTTGTGTGTCTAGTTGTCAAGGGTGCTGACAACTAGGTTAGATAGCTTCAGCTATCAACTTGACACTCCTAAGAAGTGTCAAGGTAATTTCTTTCATTGGATTGGCTTGTAGGCATGTCTATGAGGGATTTTCTTGACTGTTGAGTAATGAGGGAGGGCACACCACACTGTCGGTGATGCCACCCTGGGGAGGTGGTCCTGGGTTGTATAAGAAAGGAGGCTGAGCACAGGCCGGAGGAGCAAGCCAATGAGCAGCGTCTCTCAGTAGGTCTGTGCTTCAGTTCCTGCCTCCAGGTTCCTGCCCTGGCTTCCCTCCAAAATGGACTGTAAGCTCTGAGGTAAAATAAACCCTTTCCTCCCCCAAGACAAAAATGACTGAATGAGGGTGACCCTCTATGTCCACACAACCACATCCTGCATGGGCTCCACACTGGGGTTGGAGAACAGTTAGGCCTGTGATGGCTGCATCCGTGCATCACATATAGACACTGTTGTAGCCATTATTCTCTAACACACAGTCTGTTACAGTGCACAGAAAGATTCCATAGGTCACATGCAATATTCTGTTGTACACAAGACTTGTGCATCTGCAGATTTGGTTCTGTAAACCACCATCTCCAAGGGTACTGAGGGCAAATGTCTATGTCTGACGATGCAGACCATCCTTTCGAATACCCTCTTCTTTTCACTCTCCAGGGCTGAACTTGGGAGCCTTGGGCATGCAAAGCACTCAGTTACCACCGAGCTTCATCTTTAGCCACTCAGTTTGTAAAACTGGAGAGAAAGCTCTCCAACCATATTAGGAAAAGTCAACCACAAAGATGTTCAGTGTGATATCAGTTACATAAATAGAGTCACTAGACTGGACAGAACCACACTCTAATTATGGGTGATTTCTTTTGTCTTTTGATTAAAAAATTTTTTTTTTCTCTCCTAGCTCAGCAGAATAATGGTCTAGCATGAATGAGGCCCTGGGTAAATTCCAAGCACCAAAAAACAATGTAACTTTTCCAAATTCTGTATAAGCCTAACTCTGTTTCTAATCTCACAAAGTTATTTTTTAAATTCTTCAACTAGACCTAGAACTATGGAAAGAAGCAAAACAAGGGCACATGAGGCACAAGTGGCTAGCAGCACACTGACTTCGGTGTCCACGGACCCCGACTGCTCCCCACACCCTGCTAGCCCAGGACTGTCCCAGCTCACCTCGCCTCTCTGCGATCTGCAGGTAGCCCGTGGACAGGTACTGTTCCATGTCCTGCTGGAAGGCTTCCTCAAAGAACTTCTGCCGCTCTTTCAGCTTTAGCTGCTGGGTGTGCTCCATTTCCAAGACCTTCTGCGAGTGCTCTGCATCTAGTTCAGCTGAGGAAGCAGAGTGGGATTAGGTCTTTGAGAAGGGACCAGACTAGAGGTGGCACATGCACCCCCACAAATGATGTGTTACGTAGCCAGGCTGGTACCTCACTCAGAGGACAGCACTACCTGCCCGCCTCCGCCATGCTTCTTTTGGTTACTGGGCACTTGGGCCCATTGCTCTGCCAGAGGAGCATGTACACTGCCTATTCATCAGTGGCAGGAAGTTGCTTATCTGACATCAGCTTCTGAGTCCTGCACTAACCCAAGTGTTGTTCCATCCTGACTTTTCCACAACACTGTATTCAAGTTT